TCCATCTGCCATCAGTGGTTCAACTGTAACACTATAAAGCGACGAGAATACTTTTTGTACGCAAAGAAAACAAAAACGACTTTATTGAACAATTCGTCTCCTCTATGTCTGTCCGCATCACCGTAGCACCACTTTGGAGAATATGAGCTGATCGCAGGCAGCTTACGCTCTTCTGTGTCAGCCGTGCCACAAGGCACCTCATATTCTCCAAAATGGTGCTACGGTGATGCGGACAGACATAGAGGAGACGAATTGTTCAGTAAAGTCATTATTTTTGTTTGAAGTATTATTACATTACACCACTGGATCTGAATGAGCTTTAGAACAGAGACTAGAGATTTACAGGATAAATTTATCAAGTTTGTGTTCTGTTTATTACAAATGAGACGGGTGGAGTCTTGAACAAAGCGCACAATTAATAAAAAAACAAAACCATTACGATTACAGCTGCTGTGGATTAACAAATCATGACAAGTGTTGATTACGGCATTTAATTTAGAGCTACTTCTGTTGTGTCAAAGGCACATAAATGCGACAGATTAGAGTTCTGTATTCTTGTGAATGCTGTCATTATGACCAACAAAGTGTGTAAGCAATGTTAACAAGAGATTCATTGTGCAATGTAGACAGCTGCGTTGAATAAACAGGGGTTTTTGCAAAAAAGCTGAACTCAGTCAGACCACATCAGGGGGAACAGTTTTTCAAAAATCTATGAAGTAATCATCATTTAAATTAAGTAGCTTTTTTAAAATTTATGTTTGTGTTTATTACCACAGAGGAAAGGATTGTATGACATTAGTTTAAATGGCTACGAATTTTGATGATTCCTTCTCTATTTTTAATTGGTTTTATAAAGCACTGCCTATAAAATGAGTGTCTATGAGAAGAGAGAGGAGGAGGATGTTCACACTTATAAAGCAGCATCTCCAGAACCCAGCTGTATGTCTATGAAGAGTGATGCATCAATGGGAATCCCCCTTAATTTCAGTGATGGAGCAGTGACCTCTGACCCTGAGTGCGTATAAATGTGTTTTAACAGCAGTTACGGAAACATCTCTACAGTTCTTCAATGAGCCAAAAAGGTTATGCAAGATTGTTTTATGATTTATTATATAGATGATGCTTTATTTTCTGAACTGACCCTTAAATAATTAAGTGTCATAAGTGTGTAAATGTGAGCTCAAAATTTGGTGTGCAGGAACATTTGAATGTTTTTCTCTATTTTAATGTTTTTTTCACAGTTTTTCTGCTCATCTCACACTTTCTGCAGAGTGAAGAGAGATGATGTGATCAGATCAGTGACGCCTCGTCTGACCTGCACTAACTCTGACTGTCAGACCCTCATCAGACAGAGAGTCAAAGACCAACATAAAACAAGCATGAAAAGCAAGTATGAGAGATTATTTGAGGGAATCAAACTAGAAGAGAATCAAAACCTCCTGAACAGGATCTACACACAGCTCTACATCATAGAGGGAGAGAGTGAAGGAGTGAATGAAGAACATGAGGTTTTACAGATGGAGAAAACACCCAGAACACAACACACTCCAATCTACTGCAATGACATCTTTAAACCCTTACATCAACCAGGATGTGAGGAGAAAGACAAAATCAAGACTGTTCTTACTAAAGGCATCGCTGGAATTGGAAAAACTTTCTCTGTGCAGAAGTTCATTCTCGACTGGACCGAGGGAAAAGCCAATCAGGATGTAGATTTCATGTTTGTGCTTCCATTTCGAGAGCTGAACTTGATTAAAGATCACCAGTACAGTCTTCACAGACTTCTGCTGGACTTTCATCCTGAACTTCAAGATCTGAACTCAAAGATTTATGAAGGGTGTAAAGTTGTGTTCATCTTTGATGGTCTGGATGAAAGCAGAATTACACTTTTGTTTTCAGACGATAAGAAAGTTTGTGATGTGAATGAGTCTTCATCAGTCGGTGTGTTGATGTCAAACCTCATCAGAGGAGAGCTGCTTCCCTCTGCTCTCATCTGGATCACCTCCAGACCAGCAGCAGCCAATCAGATCCCCTCAAAATACATCAACCGTGTGACAGAAATTCAGGGATTCAATGAGCCTCAGAAGGAGGAATATTTCAGGAAGAGAATCAATGATGAGCATCAAGCCAGCAGAGTCATCTCACACATTAGAAGATCAAGAAGCCTCCACATCATGTGTCACATACCCGTCTTCTGCTGGATCTCAGCCACTGTGCTTCAAAACCTAATGAAACAAGATGACAGTGCAGAAATCCCTCAAACTCTGACTGAAATGTACATCCACTTCCTGCTAACTCAGATCAACATGAGAAATCAGAAGTATGATGACAAAGATCCAGAGAAACTCTCAAAGTCCAACAGAGAAGTGATTGTGAAACTTGCTGAACTGGCTTTCA